TATTTACTCCTGAAAAATTCAAAACTTTTGAAAATAAGCCCACAACTTTGTACTAGATGAATTTTAAAAAGACCATCTCTTTTGACTGCATTCAGTATCAAACTGACCTGAACATTGAGTGATACAAAAAAACATCAGACAAGTCGTCTGAAGGGATTGTCTCTGTTCACTGCTTATAATATTTCATTTTTAATAATGAAATTTTAATAAATAATAGCTGTACAGCCTCATTTATAATGAACAACTGAATTTAAGGGCACAACAACACAACTGTTAATAGTGATCTGAAATCTGTTCCTGAGTAAGTAGCACAAAGTACCATGTAGTTGTAAGAACTTTGAAGTATCAAATGATTTTTAGCAACATTGTAATTTGCTCTGAATGAGCTACTTACAGCTATGCCAGGAGCACCAACAGGACCCTGGAGACCTGGAGGACCTGGAGGACCCTGCAACAAGCATTCAAAAGGAAAAGTGAGTGACTGTGGCATCTGGAATGAGATGAACAGCAAATGTATTTGCATGATCAAACACTATTGTTTTTACATTTCTCCATGGAGAATGTAATATTATTCATAAGTCTTTTCCATTCATAACAAATAAGCAGTTTGTTCAGCTCTCAAAACTCAGATTTGCATGTCTATTATAAACCCTAAACTGGCATTTATTGAAAGTGCTAACGTTTGTAATGGTTTCAGAAAATTTAAAGTAGACTCCTGTGCAAACATGAATCAAGATGGAGGCTTTTTTTTTTTTTTTTTTTTTTTTTTTCAAAATTAAAAATATCTGAACTTTTAATGAGAACTAAATCATTACCTAACAATTTACCCTTAAATGAAATACTTGTTGACTGGATTAGTTTTATGAAATTGTAAATATTTTATTGTGACAGCACAAAGTTTATTTTGCCATCTAATACCTGCATTCTAAGTTCTTTTTGAGCGCTGGAAGCCACATTCTCTTTGATATTATTCCTTTTTTCAGGAGAATGGGAAAAAACAAATCTCTGAGGAACTCCTTAATTTTATCAGTTAGTCTTCCAGAACAATAACTTTCTAAGTAACACTGTCCATATCTTAACGGTCAGTTAAACAGATATGATATAATGATGAAATTTAGCCCTGAATCTGGGAATTCAGGACACAAATTTATGATGGTTAAAATGGTATGCTAGGTTGAATCTGGCTTTTTCACCAACTAGACAGATTAGACTTATGAAGAGAAGAGCTCAGAAAGCATTACATTCTGCATGGGTTGAATTCTAGCCTATCATTTCTGATGACAAAGAAGTTTTCTGCAGTTTCTGGCTTGAAAAATCTAATTCAGTGCAGAAGTGTGCTTAAATTTGTTTGAATACCTTGCTAAGGCTACAGTTAAAATATTGCACCCTTTACAGGAAAAGGATCTTAAGTCTTGCAAATTATTTCTTTCTTTGGGTTCTATGTGTATCTTAGAACATCTTATTTTCTAGGTAGCTGGAAATTTTAAACAATATTTTTCTTCTTTTCTTTTTTTCCTTTCACTCTTTGGAACAATGACATGTACAACAGCAATACGAGAAGCAAAGCTCTCTTGACTTTATTGTGAAAAATGTAAATTAAAGCACTCTTAGGAATGCTCCTGTAGATTGGAAGGATTGCCATGAGAAAGGGAAATAGCATGCATGAATTTAAAAAAAATATTGGAATGCCCATCTTCTACACATTGCAGGATGCCTCTGCTTCTTCCTTCATTTTACAGGGCCCAGAACATAATTGACATATTTTTAATCTCATTAAAATGCTCATTTTGATGTGATGTGTTGTTTGAAAGTACTTTGATATTGACTAATTAAAAATTATTTGGTTCATCCAGATTCCCTTTACTATTGTATTAACAATAAATTTGTGCTATCCCTAACTGAATATGAAAACATAGTATTTTTTGTTAGATATAGTACATTTAAACTCCAACCTTAAATTTTTATTACTTTCAGAAAGGGAACTGAAGATATTTCAAGCTCATCTTAAACAGGAAAGAGGAAACAATTTTTCCTTGTCAGTGTCCTTGCTGTGATGAGCAAATAACCACTGAGGATTTTATGGGTGTGCAGATACTGTAAAAATCTACCCTTTAAGTCCAGTGATTTCAGAACTGCGTACTTACTTTCTCTTCAGAATCTTTCAGAGGTGACTAAAAAGGCCTTTCCTCTGCCCCATATACATTTGTCAGCATGTTGAAAGGAAAGCAATAAGGTAATAAAGGAAATAAATTCTGAAATTGTCAGGGTTGAATGAGTGCAACTGAGGGCAAATAGGATTCAATATATAGGACTCCAAACAGAGTAAAATGCATGCCTTCAAATGAGCAGACTCCAACAGTGGATCCTGTATTTCATGGAAAACACACAGTATTTACTAATGCCTTACACCTTGAGACTGAGAATGTACATGATTATACTGCAGACACCTTATTTGTAAAGCAGGTGTGTGAAAATGAGTTCAAATACATTAGTATTCACTATGGAAACATTGGTCACAGTCTAATGCTCAGTATAACTAGCCAAGCTAAAATGGTCTGAAATACAAAACTGCAGCATGTATTTTTTTCTGATTTCTCTGACGAACATCTTGATGAAGAAGCAAGTCAAAGGTAAGAACAGAAAGATATGCATGTGAGTGCGTGCAGAGTTTAAGGGGAACTTGGCCATGGCCTGCTTCATATGCTTCCTCTGCTCCTTCCTTTAAAATCCATATTTTTCTATTTATGGAGGGCCTGTAATGTAATGGATCTCTTTAGGGGGACAAAGAGGAGCAGAATATATATCTTTGTACTCCACAGCTGGTTTACCACTGCAACAATAAATAAATTGATTTTCAGTTAACTGAGGAGTCAGTCGTTTTGAAAATGATTATTTTAAATGCTTTCATTTGATAAATTAATTTTACCAAGTTAATCAAAACTAAAACAGCTTAGATTATGCAAGAGTAATTTTAGTCTGAAGCAGGATTTTCCAAACAGCTTGGTTAGGTGTAGGTTTTATGAATAAATGGGTTTTATAATAGAAGTGCTCTCATTCATATGTATAATATTACATTCCTTGTGTAAACAAGGCATTGCAAGTAGTTTATTATAGCACTTGTGATATGATCTAATGCAATAGGATTGTGAAAAATACATTCTCAGCACTGAAAACTGCAGTAGTCTTTCTTTCTCACATAAATAATTGAAAAAGACAGCCTTATCTTTAGAAATGAACAGCAGTAGAAAACCCTTGTCATTTTCTTGACATTTTATCTTCACATTTTTTTTTCTATAAAAATATAATAAAACTGAATTGCTTGAAGTTGTGTACTTCTTCCTATAAAATATCATCTGATTTTATGGAAGCCATAAATTAGCTGTGGATTTCATAAGTAATCTACTTTTATGATGCTCCATATATAGTTATAACAAGCAGAGTGTTTTCAAGATAGCAAATATGCTTAGTTGTGAATAATTCTACATTGTGTTCTGAGTTTTGCTAACTGAAAACTGGTGAAATAGAAGACTGAATTTTTGGTTAAGAAAACAAAATCCTAATTTGATCCTAGTTTTGAATTTTAAAGTGGGAAAAGCTTGAAGGAGGAAGTGCTTGAACTGCAGCAGTGATTTTGAAATCCAAAAACAGCTCAAATTAAGTTATTAGAAGCCTAATTAGTCCCAAATTCACTACTGTGCCTATTGATATTTGAAAATTTGTATAAGGCATGGCATGTGAAGTCTTTACTGTTCTGAAATACTGAATAAGTTAAGCTCACTCTCCAATAAGATATTTAAAAAAAACAATAGCTGAATTAGTAGATTTTCTATTAAGTTGTTGTATTCTTTACTGTTATGGCTGAAAAGATAAAGTTCACACAATCCAGACTTAAACACAGTAAGATAATGTGTTCATATTCTTGATCTCTCCCAGTTCAAATACAAAGTGAATAAATTAAAATGATACAGGGAGGATGCTTAGGAATTGAATTTATCCATTTACTTTTTAATGATTCTGGAAGCTCTAGGAACCTAATAAACACAATGCATTTCTATTTAGTATTTCTAATAATGGTATTAAAACTCAATATTATTTTGAAGAAACATTTTTGAAATAGGTCTTTGTTTCTATTCACTAAGGTAGCAAGACTCTGTGAGTAATTTATGCACAAATACCTTTTATTTATGAAGAATGAAATGGGCAGAGGACTTTGCTACTCACGTTTTCTCCCTTGTCACCTTTACTACCTTTTTGACCCGGTTCACCAATTTCACCCTGTAATTGAAAGTTAGAAGTTAAAGTTCTTGTTTAGAATGGTCTCCTTCACACTTAGCTGACTCCAATATCACAGTACCTTTAAATGTTCCATTTGATATGATTATTCTGTGTTTTATGTTGCAGTTTCAAGCGTGAAGGCCTAAAGGAGGCGATTCTGCATCAATCAATAGTACGTCATTTTAATCCAGCTATTGACTGTTCTACTGCAAAGGCCCCAAAGACCTGGCTTTGAAGTAAGAGTGGTACTCAGATCTAAATAAAGGAGGCTGTGTTCCTCTTGTCATCCTCGGTATGAACTTGTAACAAAAGTATTGTGATTTACAGACTTGCTTAACTGTATGTGACCAAATACTTTTTTCTCAGTGCAGTGTACAATATTTCAAAATTTCAGTATAATTCAAATTGCTAGGAAAACATGTCAGAAAAGCTTACCTTATACAATAATACCAATAAAATTAAATTAAATCACAGAAAATATACTCTGTGGGGAAAATCACACTCAAGCATTACAAAAACAAACCTCAAAGTCTTTATCTTTATACCATGCTGACTAACAGAGCACTGCCATATTTAATACAAATGATCCTAAAAGGTGCTGTGTCCTGAATTCTGCCAGAAGTTAACAGAACATCTCTGCTGCTAACATATTTTTCTGACACTCTCAACCTATTACCAATGATTCTAAATCGCTATTCACCTTGTCACCATCTTCTCCAGGAGAACCACTTGGACCAGCAGGACCAGGAAGTCCTACAGGACCTTGTACTCCATCACGTCCAGCTGGACCTTGAGGACCTTTTTCACCCTGGTTTTGAAGAAAAGGAAGTGATGCACGTTATCACAGGAGTTTAATTAAGCTTTCAGTGCAGGTAATTATATTAGCTATACAACAACACAGTCCCAACCACACCCAAAGGTGTTCTAAGACAGCACTAGGTCTTCTATGCATGTGGAGGCTAGAAGTGGGAGTGAATTCAATGCTGTGCTCCTCACTTCCCTCCAATCTCTCACAACTTCTAAAGAATGAGTTTACTAATATTCAGAATCATCATAGAAAATACAAAGATCATACTTCTTACTATGAGTCTGTTAAAAAAAAAAAAAAAAAGGCTTATGCATGCTGCTGTAGCAACTGTATTATTAAATGGGTAAATTAATTCCAGATTAAAACTTAAAGACATCTGTCCTAACTCAGACCTATGAGTGCATGCAGGATTACAACTGTGATACACATACATGTCTTCTAAAACCTTATCTCAAAAATAACTTGTTTCATGACAAATTTCAAGTAACAAAAGTCTTTGCTCTCAACAATTGCTGGCATTATGTTAGGTTTTTGTTTTTTTCAGTGTTTTTTTTTTTTTAAATTTTTGTTTTTTTACTATTTTTTTGCTGATGATTATTTTACTTTTTTTTGCTGCCCATAGAGTTCAAAATCATAATTTCATTTCAGGAAAGCATATATTGTGATGTGAATAACTGAATTCAGGAAACTAAGGAAAATGATATTACCTGAATGTCTATAAAACTGAACTTGTAAATAATTCAAATTATCTGAATTTTTCTCCAAGCTATATTAAATCCATCTGCATATGATAATAGAAATGAATTAAGATTACTGTACTGTATGTCTTAAGATTACTATAACTGGTTTCACACTATCAGAAATACTCTCTCAATGTATTCAATAAGAGAAAGATAATTTAAAATATTTGTAGGAGTGTTACAAAAGAAACAAAATTAGAAATGAAAATAGCAGCATAAGATGATCATAATATATCAGAGATAAGTACAACAAAACAATAAAAAAAAAAACAGAAGGAAACAAGATATGCTAGAAAACATATCAGAAATTTATACCAAGTAATAATTGGAAGCTGAGGACAAATATACTTGTGCTTTAATGCAGAATGTCTGTACAGTAAATTTTAATGAAAACTGATTTGAGCATATTGCTTACTCACTGTTGGGATAATAACAAGATTAGCACATCTTAGGTGTTAGAGGGTATGGCAATAAATGTTTTACTATTTAATTATTTTCATACATTTAATAGGAAATACTAATGTGGTAAAAAGTAACACTCTGAAATGAAAAGTCTGTGTTGTTACAGTTTTCTGTGTCTCTGTGGTTACTTACAGGAGCACCCTTCTCCCCTGCAGGGCCTGGAGGACCTTGAGGTCCAGGACGACCTGGTAGACCAATTGGACCAGCAGTGCCTGCTGCTCCACGTTCTCCTGGTGAGCCCTAGAAAGAAAGAAATGTTATAAGAGAATTCTGATTTAGCAGTGTTTTTCTTGACCTTGGTCAACATTTCACATCTTTGGCCAGAAGAGAAGATACCTGTACTACTCAGAGAGTAGTACCTCCTTTGCACCTTCTTTTTTTTTTTTTTTAATAGCAGTTTATGTCTTTAAAAACAAAAACCAACCAGAAAAACAACAACAACAACAACAACAAACCATCTGCAGAATAGAATGGAAGGCTTTGGATTGTATTTCACTTATAAAGACTATAAACTCATTAGTGACCTTGTTTTATCTGACTTTCTGAGATGAGTTATGTAATTATAGCTTTTGTATACATTATGTAGTTGTAGCAGTACTTTTTACTGATTGTTAACAAAAATGCCCAACAAATGAGCATCTCCACAAGTGAAAAATTCTACAGATAGAGGAAGGTAGCTCCAGGTAGCTCAATGCTGATAATTGGGTAGCCTATAGGTGGCATATTTTGAGTCCAATTTGGGCATCCTATCCCTAGATGGGCTACTGAAAAATGCTGTTTGACATTATAAAGAACTTTCTCCCATCAGCATTCCACACAGTAGTATGAGAAGGGAATAAAACAAACTTAAGGCAAAGACAGCAGACAAAAGAGAGCCGTTAAAAAATAAACCATGAACAGCAAAACAAAACAGAAAAACCTGCTCTGGAGTGCATTCATGCATCTCTTTCTTTTGTCCAGATCCCTCTAAGCTGGCACACACAGTACTTGGAGCAGTCATTTGTTTGGTATGCTCACAGATCTATGTACCAGCCAGACAGATCGTATAACTGACTTTATATGCTAGTTAGAAGGAATTGGTATTGTCAGGGAACTGGAGGAACATCACCCAATGGCATGAGTCCTCCTCCTATTACAAATGGCAAAAGAAGAACCCATTATAATTACATTTCTGCATGTACTGTCTATTGGCTAAAAACAGATGCAAAAATATTTTAGGAATATTTGATGTTCACAGTCTGCTACAAACTGCTGAGAAAAAAAACCCCACAAAACTATTGTGGTTTAATTATGGTGCTTGTAGATGTACTGAAACTTGGTGTTAAGGGCATCTGTGCCTCTTATTCACTAGAAAACACTTTCAGGGTAAGAAGTTAGTAATTAAAGATGAAATAGGAAAAAAAGCAAACCACCACTTTGGACTTATGGAATACTTTCAGGTCAACTTGGTGCTGTTTCTGCCTCAACTGTTTATATTACAGTGAACCTAAAATGATCAGAAAAAAATATTTTCCCTTCAAACCCTTTCCCTTTGCCTGCAATTCCAACTACATTTACTTCTCAAAAAAAAAAAAAAAAAAAAGATTGGGAAAACAATATGCAAGAAGTTATGAACTTCCTCCTTGATTCTTTCTATAACTATATTTAACTTAGCTGGAAATGCAGTCCCAAGAGGAATGAATTTGTGACATGAAGTATCTTGAAAACCATACTCAATATTTTTTGGAATAAACCTCACTTAATCTCTGACGCTGAACTCAAATTAGCTAGTACTATTAAATAGCTCCTGGAATTTCTCTATTAATTTATTTTAACATGAAAGGAATACAGTTCACGAGTTCTGAGAAAGTTCCAGGATTTGAACCAAAACATGGGTAGTAGAACTAAAACAGTATCACATACATCCTGTAAGCAGAAAAATGGAGCATTTGAATTTAAATTCAAATATATGTATATCAGAATACAGACAACTGTCATGAAACAGGTTAAATGTTTTTCCCTCACAGCCTTTCATGACACATATTCATGAGAAACTGTGATGGTATTGGCACATCTACTGCGTGAATATCCTGTCTTGGAAAGGGGAGTGTGCTGAAATGTCAGATATGCTTGCACTGTCTGGTTTCATTGCACCTAAGCTAACCAACTGCTTGAGTAGTTAACCCAGCCTTGGGGCAATCCCTAACAGAAAATCATAACATGACCTTTAGAGAATACTTTGGTCTATGCTTTCTTGATTTTTGTTTCATCTTTTCTTCTAAAAGTTCAGGTTCTTCATATGAAGTGGAGTGATATTCCTTTTTGACTCTCCCCGTTATCTTCCATTCCATTCCTAGTTTAATAATTAATCTTAAGAATTCACATATTAGGTATTGAGAAATTAAGAAATAAAAAAGTGTTCTATGGTAAATCTTTTCAAGTAGCAGATCTAGAGTCCAATAATATAGAAATAATCCAGAAGCACAAATTTTTATACTAAGTTGTTGTTTTTTTTTCCTGCCTGTTTAATGCATTCTATTCTCAGAATCATTGTAGGAAAACATGAAAGCTTTTTTTTTACTGAAAAACACAGAATTTTAGCTCCTCTGTTACTTTCTTGACCAACGGGAATAGCTGAGCTGACTTTTTTTCTCACTTCATTTGCACAGAAATGATTTGCATTTATGGACAACTGCATTGACAAGATGGTTGTCAAAATCTATATTTTTCAAAATCTAAATTTCTATTTGGAGATAAGTGTAGCGTGGGCAACCAGTGCATCACTGTCATAAAAATAACAGAGAACAGGCAAGTTGAAGTAGGTATTCTACTTTAAATACCTTTCAGTGGATTCCTACCACAAGCTGCAGTGAAATAGGCAGCAGAGGTGTAAAGAATGAAAATTGAAACAGGAAACAAAAATCTAAATGTAAACAACTGATGAGCACAGTACTGTGTAGTAAAAGACTTGCTCAAACTACTTAAGGGAGAACAATTTACCACTTTTGAGGAGTATCTGTTTTTCTCTCTGTCATAATCACAGAGGAAAAAAAAAAAAAAAACCACAAGAAGTTGACAAATACATATTTACACCTATGTTGAGCCTAGAGTGTAGAGGAGTGTTACTGTGTAACAAACAGTTAAATTCTAATGATTTTACATAGCTGTCAAGCAAACATAATTTGCAAGAGTTTCACTGTTTCTCTAGGTATGATTCACACAAGAATTATGATAAAACCCAAGTCAGGAAAGTAATGGATGGTTTTCCATCGTGTTCTAAAATTCTTAATAATTGTATTATGCATAATTTCTTTGTAGATTCATAACACTATGTTTTTAGTAGGTCATTCTTACATTCTTGCATAATTTATTTTCCCATGGATTTCAAAGGGAAGTTTAGAATTACACATTTTTTCCAAATCTAGATCTTTTTTATGTTTCTCATACTTTCTCAAAGTTCTTAAGCACTTGTAATATTGTTTATTCTTCCATACAATTATTATGTTTACTTACAATAGGGCCAGGTGGACCTTGTGGGCCTTCCCCTCCTTTTAGACCAGCGGGACCCTAAAAGATGAAAAAAATATTTACTTCTTACAATGGAAAATTCTAGTTATTTTTGCAACATATATAACAGGAAGAACACCAAAATCCAGAGAAACAACTGAATAAATTACTTTCTGGTTATACAGCCACTGGTACTTAATGGTGAATACTTGGTGAGTGTTCGCCTACTGCATTCATTTTTAAACACAACTGAAGGTTCTTATGAATTAAGAGGATTAATCTATTGTTTTCATTTATTTAGAAACCATGTCAAATGTTTGTAGTGCTTGATATTGTACCTGTGCTCCTGGAAGGCCTCTCTCCCCGGGGAAACCACGAAGTCCTGCTGGTCCATCTTTCCCAGGAATACCTTGAGGACCTGGGTCACCCTTAAAATATATTACACTTTAATTGAACAGAATTGTTTGAAATTTGATTGTCATTAACTGAGTACTGAAAATTAAATACTAGGTCTTAATTATTGTAACGACAAAAGAAGAATATGTCCTCATCTGCTAATTCTTTTATCTTTATATTATCAATAAAATAGTTTATAAATATGATTACGTTTATAACAAATTTTGACAAAATACAACATTAGTTATAGAATATAAATGGTGAAAAACATAGCCATAAAAATCCATTGAAAAATAACATTCATTAAAAAGTTACAGTGTCCATTGAAAATGGAAGACTGATTTATATAGTAATTAGACAATCGGTAGTTTTCTTTTGCCCCAGTGGTGAAAAGTAAGCCAAGAGCTAAATTTGGTAAGTGAAATACTGCCTTGTAGCCAGTAATACACATCCTACTTTAAATGTCATTTTACAGTTTTCTACCTTGGTGTGAACATGTTATTACTATGCATTTCCATAAAAACTGTGTGGTATACGTTTGTGTATTTTTTCATTGACAAAAGCTAATCACTGGCTTGAGCAGAATCTTTCAGTCTTCAAAATTCTACTATGTGAAATGTATCAATTATGATTTTATGCAGCATGTTTTACATGATATTTGACATAGAAGTCTGTCATCAATATATCTGCTCCTTCCCAAATCCCCATCATACCTTAGCACCTTCTTTTCCTGCAGCACCTGGGAGGCCTTGTTCACCTGGTGGGCCAGGAGGACCTGGATGACCTCTTTCACCAATTGGGCCAGTCTCACCAGTAGGACCCTAAGCACAAAGGTAAACTCCAGTCAAAAGGTTTTGAATGTCTAGAGGGGGCAGATTCTCAATATCCAGCTGTTCTGAGTGAGTTACAGAACAATACTGGTTAGCATACATTCCTCACCTTCCCCTCCAGGCAAAACTGACTTACAAAATATTTTTGTCCTATAAAATAAATCTTGCATTGCCTTTTGCCTGTGGACATGCCTGAACAGTTTCCACAGATTGAAATCTTGACCTTGCTCCTTAGGCGATGAAGCTTAAAACACAATGCATTTCCACACATGGGAGGAGGTTACAAAAGTGTATGTATGGTAAATTCATGTACTGTGCTTGTCCTGAAACACTGCCTGTACTGTTTCTCTATATAACATGAATTGTAAGGTGAGAGAGTTGAAAGATTCCTCTCTAGATGCACGAGTAGAACACTTTCACTAAAGAAATTATCTATAAAAAATTCAGGCAATCCAAATGTCTGTTTTTTCTGCAAATATGTAATATCAGATAAGATTGAACTTTGTTGGTAAAACACTCCACAATCTAAAAGTGATTGAGATTTGATCTCTGACAAGAATGTCACATAATATTGTTGCTCTTTATAAAATATTTTGCATTAGAAAACTCACTTCACATTCTTGACTTCTGCTTCATGATCACATTAAGAAAAAACACACACAAATAAAAAGTGGAAAAATAATCCCAACATTCACACATTTCATGGAACTATTGGTAAGTACTAAGTATAACTTTATGTTATGAATAATTTGACACCAAAGTAAAGATAATCATTGATATACTTCTTTTAATTCAACAGATATAACTGCCCTCTGCATTAGATATAATATAATCATTAAAAATCAACTTTATAAAGTTAAGTACGGAATTAAATGATGTACCTGAGGGCCAACAACCCCACCAGGACCAGGAGGACCAGTTTTTCCTTGAAATCCCTGTGAAACAATCATAGAATACTATGTTACCTAGGAAAATATATAGAAGAGCCAAATTCTTATCCGAGATGAAGAGGAGAAACAGAAATTCCATGTCTTAAGTTCTTCTCTTCATATAAATAAAAATGAGATATTCCAGTTTTCCAGAATATGCTTAGAAGTGAAGGACTGATTAATCTTTCTTAGCTCTGTCAGTTCCAGCCAACATGAGTTAGTGCAGTAGTAAAATTTCCATTCAGTTTTACAGATCTCTCTAGGTGAACTAGATTAGGTGATGTAGCTGAATGACAGCTGAAAATACATTTTTACATATGTACATCATGAATCATAAAGCCAGATATATAAATATTTTTTAAAAAAATGCTTTTTAAAGAAAGGCGTAGAGGGTGGGTTAAGTTGGACGGGCCTTAGAAGGACCCAGTTTGGGGTATACTGCAGATTTTCTGCATCACATGCTTTGAATATGAGGTTCACACAGATGACTACTGCATTGTGCTTCTGTTTGGCTCTGCTGCCATGGCTGCTCTGTCTCAAACCTAACATGCCATCAGCTAGCTCAGACAAAATGTCCAGTTCTGGGCTCCTCACTTTGAGAAAGACAGGGAACTTGTAGAGAGAGTCCAGTGGAGGACCACAGAGATTACTAGGTGTCTGGATCATTTTCTCTTATGAGGAAAGGCTGAGAGAACTGGAACTGTTCAGTCTGGAGAAGACTGAAAGGAGATCTTATAAATGCTTATAAATATCTAAAGGACAGGAGTCAAGTTGATGGGGCTAGGCTATTTTTGGTGGTGCTCAGTGACAGGAGAAGGGGCACAAACTGGAACATAGGAAGTTCCATACAAACAAGGAAAAACTTTGAGGGTTTCAGAGTCCAGAACAAGCTGCCTAGAGAGGTTCTGGACCTCCTTCTCTGGAGATATTGAAAGCCCATCTGGACACTTTCCTGTGCAACTACTTTAGAGAACCTGAAATAGATTCTCTATAAGTTTAGCAGGGGGATCAGATGAGACGATTTCCAGAGGTTCTTTCCAACCCTTATGATTCTGTGATTCTGTGTGATTACTGCTGTATCACAGCCAGGGTTCTCTGCCTAACAGCCTGTATCCTTCTCCTACCATCCCCACCTGTGTAAAAACCAAGGTATCATTTGGACCATATTTCTTACAAATTTCTCAGCATGCCTCAAGGCACAGTCTCACTTCACTAATTCTGAGATATAAGTATTTGAGTATTAATTTTTACTACTTCTGTTGACTAGTTAAGCACATTCTGATGTTACTAACTGATCAGAGGAGGGAGTAATCTCATCTTTATAGTATGGAAGCAGAACAAAAATTTCTCATGTCTAACTTACTGTACCAGTAGATAACTAGCATTATATTATCTCCCAGTTCCAGCCTCCTTCCCTTTTCTCTGTTGCTTCTATTTTTTTTTAGTTTTGGTCACACTATTCTGACTTCAAGAGTTTTAAAACAGCAGCACAGTAAAGCTCATTTACTTACAGTCTCACCCCGCTGTCCTGGATGTCCAGGCAAGCCATCTTTACCAGGTGGGCCCTGAAATTGTAAAATACATTAAAAAAATATTTCTTTGCCATTCTTAATACTGAAATAAGTGTATAGTTAGCTGCAGGAATCTCTGATGTCTTTGGTTTTATTTTAGACTAGTCTTTGTTTATCTGCAGAGATTTTAGCTATTGTTTTAACCTTGCATTTTCCTTGTGTCCTTCCTGATGCATATTAACAGTCCTTGGAGAGTGACTGTTGGGCTGTCAAATACATGAATTTTCAAAATGGATTTCAATAAATTCAGAAATTTTGGAAATATTTCTTTTCCATTTTTCTTTGACTAATGACTCAGTTAAAAAAAACACTACCGATTATGGGAGTATTTGACGAATTTCCAGTTTTGGGCAATGGCAATTAAAGTAGCAAATATGTGCATGAAAAAAAAAACACAACAGGTGGTTTGATACTTTGGTACTTAACCCAAGTGTGCAGAAGCACGCTAGAAAAGCAGTTTGATTAGTTAAGACTGCAGCTTACATGTAAAACTACTTCTACTAGTAGATTTCTGCTACTATTGAATGTCTCCTTCCTCTTCATTTTTTTCCTCAGTGAATCAACTGTTAAAAGGAAATATATATTACTGTATTAGAATTTTGCTTAAATTCAGCTTGACACCCAGACTTTGGCATCAAGATACTTGAGGATTTCCAGGCTGGCATATTGTGCTGAATGTCATGTGTGCTGCACTGATGATGTCTGAATTATCACTTTGAACATGTGAATTCTTGTCATAGACTTAAATGTCCATAAGTATCAAGGAAATTTGTATATTTGTAGTCTAGACATAAACATCTCTTAAAAAAAAGCCTTAAAATATTACCTTCAGAAACATTGTATGAAAAATAATATTCTTGTTATTGTACCTACTTAATTTAAAAGATACTCACTGGGGGTCCCTTTGGTCCAGGAAATCCAACAGGTCCTTGAGGCCCTTGTGGTCCCTATATATAAGCAAGCAAACAGGCAAAATTTTACTCCAGCTGCCACAGCAATGGACTGAAAAGTTTGCTTCAATTATAAAATACATAAACTCTGTAGATAATATAACCTTGTAAGTCTCAAGCCTCATTTACACTGTCATAAATATTGGTACAACAATTCACACTAACAGATTGAAAGCAAGACTACTTCTGAAGGAATGCAATTAGATAAAAAAAAAAACAAACAAACAAATAAAAAAACAATTTTGAAGTATTTCTATCTAATCCCTGAAATAGTGGATAATAAAGTAGGAGTTAACGGTGAGTAAGGAACATTATTTTCTGTGTTGCATAAAGTATGGGAATTCATTCATAGTCTGGTGGCCTGTATTAACGGAATAGAATGTTCATCTTCGGCAGTTTCTGCTCTCTGGTAATATTTCAAGCTACTTTGATAACAATGCAAATTTTCAAACAGAATAAGCTTTCCAAGTTACCAGGGAGAATGAAAAACGTTCATGCTTTCATGAAAAGTAGTGGAGATAGTTTAAAAAAATGTGATGCATGAAAATTTTATTTCTATAGTTTTGTATATACATATATATAGAGAGAGAGAAAAAAAATTTTCCTGCAGCACTGTTTCACAAATCTAGTGAAAGATGATGATATGAGTTAGCACATTGTGTATTACACATATGCACATACATGTATGTCCACATAGATCTGTGGACATAGATCTATGCACCTACATATTTACACAAAGTGTAGTTTACTGTTTCTAAAATTGTTACCAAACAAAACAGAGGCCAACTCTTAAAATTTATTGCTGATATGTTCAAAGGGACTATGTCAACTTATTAAAAGACTTTTCACTGCTTGGTTTTTAATGTGCTGTCAAAGATTAGCTACCTGAAAAACCTTATTTATTCTGTGCTGTTCCACAGCTGAGCTATGTATACTAATCACACAGTGCAACCCTTATCCTACTCTTGGTATAAAATGTGTGGCTTTCTAAAGTGTCAGCTGTCAAAATATGTTAGAAATGTTGCTTTGAAGTTTGAAGCAAAGGATCATAAGCAGGAGGCCACATCTCCCAAATTATGCTACCTTTTAGCTCCTTTGATAAAGTCCTGGCTACTTCTGAGTTCATTAGAGTACAGAGCATGACTGCCAGAGCATGACAGCCTCCTGAAGTAGATGAAGCAGTACACAAATGTAGCTGAAGAAGAGGTCACTTGTGCCCAACCTGGAGATTTGTCCTTAAGTGAATCTTATACAGTAATACTAAATCCGAGTTAACTAAGAAGTGCAAAGCAAAGGAGGAAATCTTTGTGATGTTATTACACTGTCTTTCTCAAACGTTCCCATTGTATTTTGGCTCTCACATCTTGAGCCTTTTTAATGAAAGAAGATTTCCATTTTGTTTTTTATTGACAAAATGTCTAGCAGATTTCAAGCTGGTATAATGATGGATTATATAAGAAATAGCATTAGAAAAGTAACAAAAATTACTTTTTGTCATTGAATTTCATTTTAGCAGTAGCCAGACAAAACAGATTGTTTAATATTTACATGTCTGGTACTTAGAATACCCTCAGCTGAGTAGAAATGACAGTTTTAGTTCTTGGCTGACATTCACCCCTATTGGAAAGCAGATACCACACACTTAAATTAAATAAGTGATATCATATGTGGCGCTCTGTGATAACTTCATCTTTTTTCTCTAATCAGTTTATCTCCAGGGAATGCCTTCATCTAAGATGATCTGTTCAGTCCCTCTCCCGTTCCTTTTCCTTATAACCTCTTGGAGTTATCAGTAAACCCCTTAATCACTAGGCTCTGCTCTTCAGCTCCCGGTAGCCTGCCTCAGATGTTCCTCCACAGTGTAAGACAACATAGACTTCCTTTTTTGGACTATGCCTAATTCTGATTTATCTAGCATATTACTTAACTCATTCCTCCTTTGATTCTCAGCTTCATACTCCTCTGTCTTTTCCTTGACACATCATTCTTGTTTCACTAAAACTTACCACTTATTCTTGCCA